AGAAGAAAAGCTGGAAGTGAAAACCAAATAAGATGACTTTTGGTGGAAATGATAATACTTGCAGTCGTGTATGAATTTCATCACTGTATATTTAGTTTTCATTTGTACATCAATTGTTTGTGATTTAAGCTTCGTTTGAGGCGATTTTTTTATTACTTCTTAAAATAAAATTTTAGTACAAAAATTTTAATTTTTATACTAAACCTCCGTTTTAAAAGCAATGAAAAAGTCATCCCTAACGAAGCCTTAAATTAGTAAATCTTAATAGAAGTTCAAATTGTCTAATTGCATGTCTAATCCCGACTATTGATGTTCATTATCACCACCACTAAACATCAATCATCAACCAGCAATGATGCCCACAACGTATACTAATTATTAGCATATGATGCCCATCTTGTCAATCACTCGGTGTCTTCTTGTTTAAGGTGGACAATTCATTCTTAGGATTTTGACATTAATAATTGTTACTCATTTGATGATAAGAAAAGATTGATATCAAACACCATCTTACTTGGTCTCTTTTCTTCTTATATAAAAAATAATAAAGTTGAGCACTAATGTCAATCTATGCCTAATGCTTATCTTCCTAGTCATATGACACTAAAGGAAAATGTCTTGTTACCGCGGACTAAATCCGCCGGTAACAATAAAAATCCATCGTAAATATGAGCTTTCCGATGAAAATGATCCGACGGTAATTCGGGCGACGGAAAGTTGAAACCGGTGAAATTTTTTCGCTGGAAAATTTACTGGCGGTCTTTCTGACAAAAAATGTCCGATGGTAATTCGGGCGTCGGAAAGTTTAAACCGGTGAAAATTTTCCGCCAAAACAATTACCGGCGGTCTTTCCGGCGCAATTCTGGAGGAAATATACTAAGAAATTAGCGCCTTTTTGGTGTCATATTACAACTTACTTTCCTCCAGCCTTTATGGCAGAAATTGTATGCCGGCATTATCAGTGGATAATCCGCTGCTTAAAGCCAAACTGGTATCAACGGACTTTACCGTCGAAATATTCGTCGGAACTTCCGGCACAAATATACGTAAGAAATATTATTTTATTTTCATATTATCGTATTACCGGCAGTGTTTACGACGGATAATCCACCGAAAACCTGTAGTAGAAAAAAAAACAACCTTCTTTCTTTAAGAAACCATTTCCATAAAACAACCTGCATAGAAAGAAACACAATACTATATACATTCATATATCCACCTCTAATCAAGAACTTCACAGAATTATTTAACATAAACATATACACAATATCAAAAATAAGGAGAATGTCATCAACAAATATCTAATAATAAAAAAGTCAAGATGTCCAAACAATAAATAAATATGTCCAAAAACACATAATTATAGATGCCCACATCATTAAAATAAAGAACATGTTCTCTGATTCAGTCTCCTCATCTGCTAATGTTATACTCCTTCCACTCATCTACTCTCTCATATTTTGCATTTACTCTAACATTTGATTTTGTTGCATCTGCATCTTTCGCTGCATCTTCATCTGCACTACCAGTCAGCTTGTGCTTTCCATATGAATTCTCATCTTTTTTTTTTAATGAATAACATCTAATATGGACCACTCATTGACATACGATGGCATTCTTCATGGATGCACAATCTCCAATCCCCTTCTATAAGAAAATTATCAAACTAAATAATTGATGTAGAATGATCTTTAATGTTCCTCTTCACGCTTCACTCGATGCTAGTTGACATCTATCTCCCATTTGTATGGTTGACATGTCTCCCCATCTATAAGAAGAATGTGTGTTAGCTTGTCAATATTACCTAAACTTTGATGTTCCTCATTAAACATTACTTGATGCCTATTAGATACTAACACCTAATGTTTACCAGTCATTAATGTTTAATATAATTTTTTTTTTATTTTTTTGTCACCCCTCCAATAAGGAGGACCACCAAGTCAGTTGCTTAATGTTGCCTATCCTTCAATATTCCTTATTGACTATCATCCATTGTCTACTAACATTCCATGGTTGATGTTTGATTCTCTTCTTTTAGGTCAATCGATCTCCTCTTATATAATGAGCTTAACCGACTTGATCCCCCTATGTTGCTCAAGTTTTAAGATTCTTCATTGATTATTGCTCAAAATTTGTTAACATCTAATATTTGTGATCCATTGATGTTCAATAATCATCTTTTCATTGGCCTATCTTCACTCTTAGAAGGATAATGATTGAATCATTTTCTTGAAATTATCCTATCTTCAATATTTCTCATTAATCATTTCTTGATGCCTATTAAAAACTAAAGCTACGAAAGACTAACACCTAAAATCCTCTAGGCATCAATGTTTGATGCAAATCTTTAAATTAACTGACTTTCTCTATTATAAAGAGAATGATTGAGCGGACAACCCGAATTCCCCAACCTCTAAAATTACTTATCAAATATGTTATGATACTATCTTAATTGTATGTCTATTTTCCTAGTATGATAATCTCATAAGAAAAGCCAAGTCAATTACCACCCATCATTATCCAACCTTCAACATTCCTAGTGAAGTATTATTGGATGCCTGCTAATGATTAATTTTTTATGCCCATCCTACAAATCGCTAGGTCTCTCCTACTATTAAGAGAAGGATCAAGCTAATTATCCATCATCACCTGATCATAACTTAGACCCCTAAGGACTCCTACTACCATCACATAAGATATTTCAATAATTCATAGCTATGATATTATTTCAGTGTATTCTTGAGTTATGGAGAACAACATATTATATCTTTATTGACTTAAACTAATGCAACTTTTAAATGGGATAGATAATGTGATTTTTTTCTCTTGAATTTTTTATAAAAAGAATATTAAGAATCTTAGAAATAGTTATCAACTTATTTTTGTATATCATTTCCATTTAATGCTATAAAAGCAAACATATCCTCTTGACACGTCATCAAAAATTGCCTTGATCGGGCACGAATATCAATGCAAATATGAATTGGAAACTTTTGAAATTAAATTCAGGATTATCCAAACTCCAATTTCAACAAAATCTTATAGTCAAATTGAGCATCTCATAGAGATGAACCCAATGACACCAAATTCAATTCAATCCGAGCCCAAATGGGTCCAAATCAAAAGACCAAAGCATATTTAAAAGTTTCAAAGCATTAATTGGACGCCCAAATGACATCCAAACATGATGTTCTTATAGTCAAATTGAGCGGCTCGACGAGACGAATCTAACGAGCCTTAGATTACGCAATTCTAACATCATTAAGATTGTTAAATGCTTAACAAATACTTCATGTGTGAGTCATCTGATAAAGCACTCCAAATTTACCCTTAATTTTCTCTATTTTTACTGAGGATGTCTCTCCCAAAAAAATTATAAATAGGCCCCCATTCTTCACATCAAAGGGGAAGAAAAAAGGAGGAAAAAGAGAAAGTTTTTGAGGCCTGAAGAATCCTGGAACTCCACCCTAGCACCACCGCCGTCAAATTCGTGCCACCAAGCCACCGCTGTTAAACCTTTGGTTGACCATTGCCATCAAATCTCCATATCAAAACTACTAACAACCCTTCCTCTACCACTTTCGTCCTTAAAATATGTTTCCTTCGACCACCATTAATTGTCTGTCGACTACGATCTCTCCAACCACCATCGCCAGCTTGCTTCGATCCTTTCGACCTCCATCATATGCCAACTAAGGTCCCTTTGGCCACCGTCGTCAACTACAATCCTTCCAACCAGTGTCACTCGCTAACTATCATTCATTTGACCTCTTTAACCCAAATGCAGCTCTACCAACCATATGAACATGCCAAATCTCTCTTCAAAATAAATGTCATCATTCTCAAATTATGGAATGTGCTCTATACAATGTATAATTGCTACATTAAGTCAACAACCACCTCCAAGGAAGGGTATCATTTGTAATCAACCATTAACACTAGTGAAATCATTTCAACTGAGCAAGACCAAGTGATTTTTTTCTCTTTTATCACCAAAAAATGATAGCGTCTCTTATGCATGATGTATCATACTCTTTTATTTGTTTTTGTGCTCGATCTTCGTACAAAGCTAGGGCATTAAACTTTATTTTTCTCTACCGCCACAAATATTTCAAGATGCAACACCTCTATTATCGTGAGTATTTCTATTTGGTACATTAATAAAGCTCTATTAAAGAACTCAACAAAATTCAAATAAGTTGTTATTTTACTATATAACATTTCTTACCTAATAAAATAAATCATTTACCAAGGGAGAAGGATGTGACATAAGCCCTCTCTAAATCTTAAGATGGTCTTATATATCATATATTGTTACTTGCATAAACATAATTTTTATAGAAATATTTAATTTATGCTCTAAAATTTTAAGATTTAGAATATAGATATCTATTAAAAATTATTGATTATATTTTTAAGATAATTAATTTATGCACCCAATAAAAATATTTTTAGTTTTATAAGTGGTAATTACAACTATCCTTACAAAAGTAAAGTCATGTCATGTAATTAAAAAAAAATCTAAGGAAATTAAAAAAATTTCATTACACTTTATATTTTTTTACCAAATAATTTTTAACATATTAGTTAATATAACAATTTTTTTGGAAATTATACAATAGTTGACATTGCCAATTTGGATTATTCTGACCTAATCTAAAGATATTATTTCAAGCATACACTTGATTGAATCATATTTATCCAAATGGGAAGATGATAGAGAAAATTTTGGAGTTTGCTCGAAAGAGAAGCACATATGTCGTCCGTATATATGTCTTTTGTAAAAGAATTTAGCAGATTTTGAAGTACTCTCAAAGCCGTGCAAGCCATTGCATCACAAAAGAAAAGCATCTCAGGCTGTCTCCTTCAGAAAGTTTAGCGAGCAGCTCAGAAACACCAGATGGCAAGAGAAGAAACGAATAAGAATCTTAGGCTCAGAGCTCGAATGCCTCTCCTCACAAGACGACGAAAGAAAATGCAGAGAATTTGCTATTAACGTAAATTGGAAAATAAAATCACTAAAATTTCTTAAGAAGAATCAATATAGACGGCATTACAGAGAATCAACCATAAAATGAAAAGCTTTTTGTTTTTCTGTTTCTTGAACTTTTTCTCTGTCATAGCATCATCGAGTAACCAAAAAAAGGGAAAAGGAAGAAAAAAGATTTGAGCTTGACGATGAAAAAGCTAGCTTGTCCGTCCTCGTTCAAACCGCCGCCGCCGGCACCGCCGCCGCCGCGACTTAGTCGAAGTGGAGGAGACAGCCGCCGCACTTAGGACACTCCTCGACACGTTTCGGAACCATGAAGTACATGAAGCAAGACTTGCAGCCCGCGACGACGAGGATTAGACTCCCCGCGCCACGGTTACCGTCGCCGGCATAGGAGTCATCCGAGGATGAATTGTGAGAGTTTCTGCTGCTAACACCGAAAAAATCCTCATAGTCAGTTCCATCGCCGGCAAGCGAGCTGCAGTCTTCAACGTCACCGTCATTGTCTTCTTCCTCTTTGCTGCCTCCGGCATCATCGGAGTTGTCGTCTTCTGATGAGATATAGCTCGCCTGAAGGCCGGAGGCTGCAATCCGAGGAACCTCTGTTCTCCTCTCACCGCTCTTCCCGTTCACATAGAACAGCTTCCCTGTCTGAGAGGAAAAAAAAAACAGAGCAATCATTATAAGATAAGCTTAAGAGCAAAAAATGATGGCCGAGTGATTAATCTGTTAATCAATTACACAACTTGACCATAAAAGAATAATCTTTCAATGTCGAAAGAGGAAATAGGAAGAGAAAGATTAACACTTAAATGATCATGAAGAAAGAAAAAAGAAAATAACAGAGATCGAAATAGAAGAAGATCACACCGGTTTAAGAGAAGAGAAAAGCTTTTAAAGTGGAGAGATTAAACAATGCTAAAAGCACTTGGAGAGACAAAGATCTTCGTGGTCCATACAGCAGTAATTAATTAGCGGGCAATGATTGTATCGGAAGCGCAAACGAGCGAGTAAAGAAGAAGAAATAGATATGGGGTATTGGTGTGAGTAGGTAACGAACCTTCATGTCAAGGCATTGCTTCCAGTGATTGGGAAACGCTGTACCGGAGTTGAGCTCCACCGTTACCTCTTCGCTCTCCGCCGCCGCCGGCGGCGATGCTGCTCCTCTTCTGCTGTTAAGGGAGCAGTTCCTCAGCGAAGCGGCTATTGATTCGATGTTCGGCGCCGCCATCCCTTTTCGCCGGCGCCACCGGAGAACAGGAAAGAGACGAGATGGAGAAGATCAGAACCGGAGAAACTGGGGATTTGGAAGGAGGAATTTTATTCTTCTTATAGCATGGAGTTTGGAAAAGTTCCCGTTTCAAAACGCGCTTTTCAGAATACTTTTTTCCCCCTCCACGGAGAGAGTTATAGCATTCCTTAAGAAAATTATGAGGAATATTTGAAAAAATAAATGCGAAACTTTAGCTTTTATGATAATATGGCTCTTACAAAAGTTAACATATCTCAATCTCTAATAAAGATTTATTTTTATATGTTAATGCACACATCCAAATGTTAAAAATTACGATCTCTAATAAACATTTGAGTCGAATTTTTATATGTGCAAAGTTTTAATGAGACATTAAGAAAAATATCTCAAATAAACCCTATATTATATTTTTAATTAAAATAATTCTAAGGTCATTATTAAAAAATAAATAATTTTAAAGCTAATTATAACTTTAACAAATATATATTTTTTAAATAATCAAAAAATAATTTTCTTAAGACCATCACTTATTAATAAGTTTAATTATAAAAAATAAATTTTAGTATAAAAATTTTAAAAATAATAATTAAATATAAATATGACAATATTTTAAAAAATGTAATTAAAAAAATAAAACATAACAATTGGTATTATCATCCCTTACTAATATAAAAAATTAAATATATACCTTATGATTTCGTCTTTTCAAGTCAATGTAAAAAATAAATGAATTTTCAAAAAATTAATAAATGCCAAAAATTGGCAGAAACATCAAACATATGTGATAGATTTTTATTATCTTTGCAAATTTTTAGCCACGTTTTAACCATTTGATACATACCAATGTCACGTCAGACGCATGTTTCTTTCTGCTTCGCACGTATTAGATTTTTTTTTCTCAATAATAAATACCAAACTACAAATCTTAATAAAATCAACAAAAATCAAAGGTGACGATAGAAGAAATCACCCAGCACGTCATACTTTATATTTGAATTTTCGGGTGTCAAGAGAAATTATTACGTGTAGAGTTTGGATAAGAAGAATTGTTCGAATTATAAGTGTATACATTATGTATATACAGTATGTACAAAAAATTGATATATGTTATGTACAATTTATACACAGTGTACACTCAAATGTCCGAACATTTCCTCCCGTCTGGACTCCAAATAGAATAATTTCACCAAGTAATGACACGACACGAAAACCCCATTCAAATTTGATAAATAAATAGATTTGTGTTATAATTATTAATCCGTTTAAAGAATCAAGTTATGTCGAAGTCAACCGACTAACCTAGTAACGATCCAAATTCTACCAGCATCCTGCACCACGTCACTCTCGCAGCTCATCTGCCTCTAACCAGCATCTTGCAACTCTCAATCTCACATTGCAGCCTGCGCTCGTGCTCGCAACCTCGTAGGCTTGTACACCCGCTTGCACTGGCGCTAGAGTCACCCTCGCACTCGTGATATTTGCCCCCTCGCTTGCTTGCGGTCAGGTCTTCACCCGCTAGCTCAATCCCACACTACGCGGTCCCCCCCTTCTTGCCCACAGTCCCAAAATCCCGCCCGCACCGTCGCCCACCCTCGACGCTCACTTGCTGCTTGCACCTACATGTTAGCGGGTTTATCAACCTGGTAACCAGACGGGTCAAGTCCTTGTCTGAATTTATGACCCATTTGTCTAATCAAATTGGGTTCGAATTGAAAAAGTTGAAGGTGAGTCGGTTTCGAGTTGAATCCCCAAAAATATATTTTAGCACCCCTAATTATATTGTAATATTATTATAAAACAACATAATTTTTACATAGTTACCCAACATAAAAGACAAAATTCTAACGCCAAATAAAAAAAAAAAATCCAACAAATTTATGAAGAAAGCTGCACTATATTTTTCGTGTGGGATAGAAAGTAGTGATATTCGGAGATGGTCCCCTTGTGATAGATAATTTATGTAGCGATATTCTTTATTGAATCGTGATGAAGATGTTGATGGTGAACTTGAAGAGTGTAGCACAGGAGCATGAACATGACTTCCACATTTTTAATAGGGGAGATGCTTTTGGGGTCAATGGGACAAGCCAAAGGAAGAGTATAAGGTTTGCATAGATCAAATGCTTTTGTGATTATGTATATATGTATTTTTTATTTTACAATTTTTTGGATTTGTATTAGATAAATATCTATATTATCTATATAATAAGTTCAATTGGTAGAGAAAGAGTACTTGATTTCTTAGTGCTAGCTATATGAGATATAATAACAAATGACTGTTACCGTCACTTGCTTTTGTTGACCATTGCTGCCTCTTCCTCTAACAACCATTGCAACCCCTTCCAAAAATCAATAAAATTTAAGGTTTGAGTTAAATAATTCTTTATATTTTTTGTTGAATTATATATAAGAAAGCTTAAACGCAGGCCATGAATATGTTTTTTTTTTTTTTTTTTAATTAAGAAAGTATTTGAAACTTGTTGTGTCCTGGAATATTCACGACGACAGAGAATATAAATTTTAATGTCTTAGTTTTGTACGAAGATCTAGCACACAATCAGATAAAAAGAGAGGGTGTAGTATACATAGGAGACACCAAGATTTTTACGTGGAAAATCCTAAAAATGTGAAAAACTACGGGGCCTAACCCAATTTGAATGAATCCACTAGTGTTTGCAGTTGATTATAAATGAGGCCCTTCATTGGGGGGAATGCCTTAGCTTTATGTAACAAATATTTATCATATAGAGTGTGTTACATGGTGGAAATAGGAAGAATCACTGTTGACGTGTTCGCTTGGTCGAAAGGGTCAGAGTCAATGGGTGACGAAGGTCGGAAGGACTGTAGTCATTGGGAGATGTAAGTCAGAAGGATTGTAATCGGCGGGCGACGGAGGTCATAAAGACCGTTATCTGGTGACGGAGGTTAGAAGGACGACGTCGGGTAGAAGTCCGACGGAAGTTAGGTGACGGGTGGAAGTCCGGCATCAGGCAGGAATCCAGCGACGAGCAAAAATCCAGCATTGGGTAAGAATCCGGCAATAGGCATAAGTCCGATGTCGGGTAAGAGTCCGACAATGGGCGGAAGTCCGGAGTTGGGTAGAAGTCTGTTGATGGACAAAAGTTCGGCATTGGGTAGAAATATATTGATGGATAGAAGTCCGGCATCAGATGACATTCAGGCAGAACTCTAGCGTCGGTAGGCTGCCGGGTGGAAGTCCGATGATGGTCGAGGAAGAGTCTAGTGCAAGATTATGTTCATTTTCTTTTTTCTCTTCTTGTTTCCTTGCTTAATTTAGGCATCAGTTGGTGATCGGGCAGAAGTCTGGCATAAGTCGGTTGCCGGGTGAAAGTCCGGCGGTGGTCGAGGAGGAGTATTTTCGTTTTCTTCCCTTCTTGCTCGGGCCTCTGGGGTGACCAATAAATAGGAGGAAGATTAGGGGTATATTGGGAGTGATTTGAATGGACGGCTGATGTTGAATCACTTGATCGTGGACCGTTTATTGGGCATTTGAAGGACCTAATGATATCATAATTTGACGATCTTGGGCTCGTTGGATTCGTCTCATCGAACCGTGCTCGATTCGACTAAATTAATTTGTTATGTTATATGTGCATAACATACATATTCAATAGAATGGTAGCCATTGGATTCAAATTTATCTATGGCCAGTATCATAATTTCATTAGCATGACTTGCAAGTATTCAAAGAATGTGGAACAAACATAGTATTGAAGGAGAAGAAGAAGAAAAAAAGAAGAGTTTAAAATAGAGAAATAATCTCTAAGACAATATTTGTTTTAAAGATCCTCCAAAATCATTATATGAAAATTTCCGTTTGACCATTTATTTATAATGTTTTGGGGCTATAAAAAGGATACACTTTGACCTTTTAAAAAATAAATAAAAATTATATGATTAGATTTTATTTATATACATGTAGATGAAGATAATCAAAGCACCCATGAGTATACATACAGACAATCACCACAGCTTGGTTAGAGAAGAAAATTGCTAGCTAGGCAACCAGGATTTTAGGTTTATGAATGAATTCACCTATCCTCTAGGTGAGGTCTATGACATTCACTTGAAGTCACTCATATTGATTAAATGGTGACAAGTAGTTCCTAACCTTGAAAGAGTGACCCTTAAGATAAGATAAGTTGATATGGTCGAACTTTAGGCTTAATAATTTCTAGGGAGTCCTTGATGATCTTGGCAAACCTACTGTAATTTTGGGTGAATGTGTCATTATATTTGGTGGGTCCTTCGTTTTAGCCTTTTTTAGTCTTAGAGACTCGCCTTGTATTAGGTTAAACCTAGTTAAATCTGGTTCCAAAGTTATTTGGATTCAAAATTGCCACATATTACTACCAACATTTTTCTTAATGTTAAAGAGAAAATATTGATGATATGTGAAGGTCTAAGAATTTTGAAATTCCTAAAATATTTCTATATTTATAAATATTAATTGGTGCAAATTTATGGGCTTCAAGACTTATGATTGTTATATTCATATAGAAGAAATTAAGCTAATTGCACCAAGGTCTTGTGCATCATTCAAGAAAGTTATGAACATAATTGTGCATATATTACAGTTCTTAAAATCATTTTTTTTGCTAGGTTATCATTATATGCTATGTACTTAAATCTTGTACATTAAATAAAATCCTACCAAATATAAAAAATCAAGTAGGAAAATCTTTGGTTTATTTTATTGCCAATTAAAGTAAATATATTATTATATAATTTCATTTTATTTTTATTTAATGTGTCATACATTAAAATTATAAGAGAGAGAAAGTGAGCATAGGTTACAACGTGATGCTAGTGATTCTCAAAAATAGTTTGGATTCATGTTGGGTAGGTTTACTGTGTAAGCTATATATTTGTTGAAGGGTTTAATGGAGAAGTATAAAGAGAGTAAGAATGATATGCATATGGTTTTATTAATTTAGAGAAAGCATATGATAAAGTTATAAGAGAAGTGAAAACTTTCTTCAGTTGATTTCCTACAATAAGAGAATATAGGAAAAATAGATAATACAAAATAGAGAAGAAGAAAGGATTTCACAACTTTTGGAAGAAAGCTTTTGGAGGAAGAGTTCCTTCGTATTTT